TTACAATGCTCTTTGTCTGATAGCGAGACTGTTCACATCCCTGGACTATGGTTAGAGGGGAGTCACCAGAGGCTTAATCCCCATGTGGGGACCCTGCAAATGGATTTGGGACTTCCATTGTCATCCATAGCATTCTGCAAGCCTGGTGTTCACAATTTAAGTTCTGATACCATTCCCTCATTCAGATTTGGATTGTATTATTTACAATCCTTGGATCACACAGGCTGGTGTGCTGCTTCCATATGAACTTAGTTGATGCTTCACTTAGATGGCTGCTTGTTTTAAGACAAAGTGTAGAATTTTGGCGTAGAATATATCTTGACGTTCTCTCTGCTTAATGAATTTTCTCAGGTGGTGTGGCACTCCATGCAAGACGAATTTATTCGCCAGTATAAGCACTTCGAAGGCTTGATAGCGCGCTGTTATCCTGGGTCTGGTGTTACAATGGAATTCACAATTCAGGACATTTTGGATTATTGCTCCAGTATTGCACAGTCCCACTGAACCTCATGAAAGAAGACACAGTAAAGTAAAGCACCCTAAGCACACCAGATGCACCAGATGCCACTCAACAATATGAAGCTGCCATTTTCAGAACCCAGTCTGAGACTTGTATGTATTAAATGTCAAGTTAACAGGTAACACCGTTACAAAAGAAATTAAATACAAAAGTACAAACCTGTGTGGAAATTTAATATGGTTGTGTTCTAAAAACATTTATTTCATCATAAAATTCCATTAGCACTTTTTATGACCGAACAGGCTAGTATCCTTTTTTCCCTAGTTATTACCCTACATGTAAATATGGAGGAGAAAAGCTCCACCAATTACAGGCTAGAGTCCTGACTTGGGAGGAAGAAAGAAACACTGTTAATATAAGTTTCCATGGCTGTTCTTGCATAGACTGTGCCTTTCCTGTGGTGAAGTTTTTGGCTCTGTCTCTGTTAAGTTACTAAGGGGAGTCAGTGCGGCGGAGGGGTTCTGAGCATGAGAATCCCCATGAGAATGGACGCCTAATCAAGCGGCAGAAAACCGCATGGCTTTGGGCCAATTGCTTGACCTTTGTGAGACTCCTTCTCCTTATTGGAAAAGTAGAAATAAGACCTCTCTCAAACAGTGGGCACTCATCATCACGATTTTCATTTCATGGATGAGAAAACCAGAGCTCAGAGAGGTTCAGCAGTAATATGACGCAGATCCCATTCCTAACGAGTGGCGAAGC